GTGTGAAGCACATCCAGACGGTTTTGATTCTCCGCCCGCCTGACCGAGCCGAACCTGTCGCCCGCCCCGCAGCGCCGGGCTCGGCAAGCGGACCTGGGCCTGCAGACGTCCAGCAGCGCCACCCTGTGCCTCTTCTCCCCCTTCACCCGCTACTCCGTCCAGCTGCGGACCCGCTTCCACGGCAACAGCCGCCACTGGAGCGAGTGGAGCTCGGCGCTGGAGACCCGGACAGAGGAGGCTGGTGAGGACAGGGGGGGAGCACACCCATCCTCTTCCTCAGATCCCCCGGTGTGGAGGAAGGGTGAAGCCGGGAGTGCACTGCACTAACTCTCCTCTCCTCTCCTCCGGCGCCGTCCGGTCCAGCCCCTGCGGTCGGGCCTCAGCTCTGGAGACGGGAGGGGGCCGTGAGCGCAGACGGCCGGCGCCGGGTGACCCTGCAGTGGAAGGTGAGTTGCTGGTGTCCGCGGGGGTACAGCTCTCCCCTGGGTGTCCCCCAGACCAGGGGGGCAGGAGAGAGACACTGCTTCAGCAGGTGAATGGAGCAGGAACTTCAGGGGGGTCGGATTGTTCATATCGTTCTCGATCAACGCCACTCGCAGGATCTTCGGATCCACTGGGAGGGGCTTTTAAAATCCTGTTCCGGGAGGGACGAGGCAGGTCTGCCCCCCAGCCGAGCTCCGAGCTCCTGAGCACATCAGGCGACAAGCTGCTGATGACAGGCCAGTGAAGGGTGTGATCTCGCTGCCCTGGACACAGGCGACCCTCAGAGGGGGGGTCACGACAGCTGCCTGAGTGTACGGGGGCGGAGCGGTGGCTCTGAGGCTCAGGTTCTGCGCCTGTGGCTGGAAGGTTGCCGGTTCAAATCCCACAGCCGGCAGAGGAATCCTACTCCGTTGGGCCCCTGAGCAAGGCCCTTAACCCCAACGGCTCCAGGGGTGCTGTACAATGGCTGACCCTGCGCTCTGACCCCCAGCTTCTCTCCCTGTCTGTGTGTCTCATGGAGAGCAAGCTGGGGTCTGTGAAAAGATCATTCCTAATGCAAGAAATTGTAAAGGGTTAATAAAGTGATGTTGTTGTTATTGTTATATGATGATGGGTGTGTCGGGTCCTGCGAGTGTGAGTGTGTTGGGGGGGGCTCTCAGCTGTCTGCAGTGGATTCCCAGGCTTTGGACGAAATGCGTCGCTTTTCTTGGGCGGGCTGCCAGTAGACTGATCCCAGTACAGCAGCGGCCCAGGGCAGGCAGGACCCCGAGCCTCAGCGGGGCACGAGAGCTTCACCCCCCAGTCGCTGCAGCGCCTCTGAGATCAGAGCTGCAGGACGCAGGAGCACAGGCAGTGGGGTCGCGGTTTGAACACGGTTGACAGCTTTTGGTCCACCCGACCTGAGCCAGTCACAATAATAATAATAATAAAAAATTGCTTACACTTCTAAAGCACTTTTCTGGACACTCTACTCAGAGCTCTTCACAGGTAATGGGGATCCCCTCCACCCCCACCCGGATGATGCGCCAGTCCTCTCCCCACACACCAGCTCTCAGTGGGGAGGAGAGCAGAGTGATGAAGCCAGTTCAGAGATGGGGATTATTAGGAGGCCATGATGGGTAAAGGCCAGGGGGAAATTTGGCCAGGACACTGGGGTAACACCCCTACTCTTTTCGAGAAACACTCTGGGATTTTTAATGACCACAAAGAGTCAGGACCTCAGTTTTACGTCTCAGCTGAAGGACGGCGCCTTTTTACAGTGTAGTGTCCCCATCGCTATACTGGGGCATTAGGACCCACACAGACTGCAGGGTGAGAGCGCCCCCTACTGGACCCACTCACACCTCTTCCAGCAGCAGCCTCAGCTTTCCCAGGAGTCTCCCCTCCAGGTACTGGCCAGGCTCACAGCTGCTGGGCTGCAGGGGCTGCAGGGTGACAGAGCTGCTAGCAGTGTAGTTAGCGTCCTCTACAGCAGGACCGTGTTCTCTGTGCTTCTGATGCTATAGCAGTGAGGAAGAGGATAGACACTGTCTGCAACTATTTAACCCTGACCCACATCACCGCCTTGACTCGAACCCGAACCCTAGCACTATTCACCCACCCTCGGCCCCCATGAGCCCCAGCCTGGGAAGGCTGCTGAAGTGGCGGAAACGTTACTGATGTTGTTCTATTTCTTGCTTTGCCCTCCTCCTCCTCCTCAGCCCCTGCTGCAGAGCCAGGCTAACGGCAAGATCCTGGGGTACAATGTGACGTGCTGCTGGGGGGGCGCCCCCCAGGGGCAGGAGCAGCAGGAGTGCGGGGTCCTGCCCCCTCAGCGCACTTCCTGTGTCCTGGTGCTGCCCGCGCCGCTCTGCTCCTGCTCGCTCTCCGCCTTCAACGCCGCAGGCCACTCCCCCCCGGCCCGGATCGCCCTCCCGGACGCCGGAGAGAGGGGTAGGGGACCGCTCGATCCCTGGATCAGCTGGGGTATCAGATCGGCTCACAAGGGTCTGACGTCTTGCAAACCAGTTCCCTGCCTCTGCGATCTTGGTGTGCGCTTGTGTGACCGTCGTGGGGCGCGAACCCGGGTCTCCGGCGGAACGCCCGAGGGAAGCAGCCCAGTGAGCTAAAGGAGACCTCCCCCAGCCCAGGTGCTGAGGTCCCTGCTAGGTGCAGGGAGGGCGATGACGTCACCATGTCCAGACTAGCTCCGCTGCACAGCAGACACTCTGGGAGTCCAGTGGTCTGGGGTCTCTGCTCCTGCGGCCCCACTGGGTGAGCAGTGGTCTGGGGTCTCTGCTCCTGTGGCCCCACTGGGTGAGCAGCGATCGGCTCTCTGCTCCTGC